GGTGCGCTGGCCGGGGTCCGGCTTCTGCTTCCCTCACTGGAGAGGAAGTTTGCTCGGAAAACTTTTAGCCGCAGTACGGCCAGGCCCGTGACAGCTTCGCTTCGGTTGGCGAGGGAGGTAGTGGAGTGCTTGAGTGCTGGGGTGACTGTTAAAACCCCTGCCTCCTTCTTTCTAGGGAAAAGAAACAGCTGCACGTTCCCTTTGAAAATCCATTTTTAACATAGCTAGAAATAATTTTAAGCTGATAAATTGTGACTGATTCCCTAAAGGGTTTGGTGCTGCAGCAGACTGGAATCTGAAATGTTTTCTAGAGTTTATTTTCTATTTAAAAGTTCGTGTGTTTTACTGGTAACTTTTTTTTTGTGGTGGTTGTAGGTATTTTTAAAATAAAACACTATAAATCTGACAACCGTAGTGTATGTAATGAACTAGACTATTTGGATTGTCACAGCCAGTCCTCTTTTTCATCTGGGATGTGGTTGGTTTGTTTATTTGGGATTTTTCTTTTTTTTTGTGTTTCTTAAGCAACAGGTCGATCTGTAAATAGTCCTCTGCAGCAAAATGGAAGGTCTGAAGCCCCATTCATTATTCTGTGGAACTCTTGTTAGGTGTTTTCTTGTTTGTTTTGATCCTTTGATTATCTGTGTCTTCTGAAGAAAGTAATGTTCCTTAACAATAAATTAACATCAAGAACTTAAAAGGAAGCTGAATATTCTGACTCGTCCTAGGTATGTTACTGCTGACTTAAAACACTTTGTATGACCTATACATGTTTGAAATGGAGTTTGTCTGAGATTCAGCGCATGCAGCGGTCGGTGTCTTCTGCCACATCTTCTAGGAACCTTGTTTTCATGTTCCCATCCCTGCTTAGATGTTGGGCTTCTAAAACGCTGTTGTTATTCTTGATAAGTCTTTTTGACTTGAGTATCAAAAATGTAGTTTGTATTGCTGTAACTTTCTTTATTTATGTGTGTCTGTCTGTTTATAAAACGTACCTGGCCTTTAGGGAAACTGTTTTTTGAAGTTCAGCAGTGAGAACAAGTACATTAACATGTCTGAATAAATAGAAGATCTTGTTTATAAGGTTTTTATAACAGTTTACTGCAGTTAGAGGTAAACTTCTGTAGTGTGGTGGTGTTTTGTTTTCTTTCCATGTCACACCAGGCAACGTGCTTTGCTTAGAAGAGGATGATTTCTGTTTAAGTGAATAGGAACTTACTGAAAACCAGAACTTTTATTGGCCAAACCTTCCTCTGTTCATGGACTACAGACTTTTTGCTCTGATAAAACAGATAGGCGATACTTACCATAAAGCTAATACAGTAACTGTTCCCTGTGTCTCTTTTCTATTCTTCTAGTGGCATTTCAGTGGACAATGCTAAATTTGATGGACCTTTGTTACAGATTTTATTTATGAACAATGTAATTTCTAAGTAAGTACTTTCCAAGAAATAGCAATCCTGACAGGAAATGGGACTGGTTTGTTTGTTCGTTTGCTTGGATATCTTAGCGTTTGCCCAGAGGATGGATGTATGTTTTATTCAATAATGCAAATTTGTTAAGCTTGAAGGGGAGAAAGGCTAATGAGCGATATGACAGCAGGTTTGTTGCCTTCATTAGCAATGCCTGTTTTTATCATGAAGTGTGACGCAGGAACTTGGAGTGAGTCTGAATAGTAGTTGGAATCTCATGAGTGTTGTGGATAAATGTAGTAAATTAAATTTTCCCTGCCTTGGAGTTGACTTTTTGCCGCACTAATGTAAGGGTGCACTCTAATAATAGATTGCATTCATGTTGGTTGGGGCTGGGAGGAAGACGGAAGAGAAGTTGTCTGCCCCTTTTGTAAGTTCTTAAGAGGTAGTAAATGGTAAATGCTTAAAAAACAGACGTCTGGCATATGGTTCAGTCGTGCTCATATCTTTGTCTCTCTCTGCTTCTTCACTCCATTACAGACGGTATCATCAAGAAATTGAAGATTTTGTTTTTAATTTAGTTCAGAAATACGAAGAGCAGAAGAGAGGTGAACAAGAAAAAACGCACTTCAATGTTAAACCACAGGTACTTTAAAACTCAAATTGGTATAAGGTGCTCCTTCTCTTGCATCTTTAAAGTGGGGATATTGAAATACTACACTGCTAAATAGCTGGATTCTAGATGTTTTTTCTTGCTTAATTGCAAATCAAGTAACTATCAGACAAATCTTGTATAACTATTTGTTCCTAAAATAGAGGACCAGGACAAAGAAAATATCCTTTCTGCCCATGAAAATTTGTCTTTAAATTGTTCCTGTTGAAATTTGTGTAAACACAAAGTAGTGAGTTGGTTTAAATAATCGAGAAAAGACTGTAAGGTACAATGTAACGTATACTCTTCTGATAGTATGTGGCCCAGCTTTGAGTGTGTAAGTATATATAAGTGCATAGATGAACAACAGAATCTGGAAATTTCTACTTTCTTCTGTTAGAGTTTTGAGTACTTAACGTTGACTTTTTTGCATTCACATTGAATCAAATGGTGAAATGGCACATTTTTCTCAATCTTTCTCTTAGCTTTTGAGATAAAAATAAAGATGTTCTTATGCAGCATATTTCACATCAAAGAAGACATTAGAAATGAGCTGTGCCATACTTTGGACTGTGGAAAACATCACAACTAATGTAGACATCTCCATCGTACTGCTTAGCTAATTTTTCATGAAAGAGTAGGTGATGTAGTCCCATGTTCGGTGCCTTTCACATACTTTAGTAATTTAAGAGCTCTTCTTTTTACAGTTACTTTAAATTAATTATTTGCATTTTTACTTTGCATGACAGCCCTCCAGTGTTCTTTTGGAAGAAGACTGTAAAACAGCAAGCTCGAATTCTGTTAAAAAAATTAAAGAAGCTTTTAGTGTAAGTTTTTGACTATATACTCTTCAACGGTAGGTCTGACTCTTTATTCTACACGTTCAGTATACGCCGCCATTAAAATAAGATCATGTTAAATTTTGTTTATCAGTGCAATAGCAGTTAAGCTTAGCATGTTTTGGTTACATCAGTGGGAAAAATACTTATTTGTACAGGTGTGGGTGTGTATTATTTGTAAATTCTTACAGAGTGGGGGAAGTAAGCTGGAAATATTTCAAGCAGTGTAAAGTTATAGAAATGCTACCAATCTGACTGCAATACTGACACATTTCTGACAATTTTCTGACTTTTTTTCTACAGGTTGTAGGAAGTGTTCTGTATTTTACCAATTTTTGTCTCGATAAACTGGGACAGCCTATATTAAATGAGAATCCACAGCTGACAGAAGGATGGGAAATACCTAAGTATCCTGTTTACTCAAACAAGGGTTTCTTTCTGTTTGTCAAATCCAAAGAATGCCAGTTGGTAAATTGAACTCAAATTCTGTTCAGTAGTTCGTACATTTCTATCAAAACCATATCAGTCATTATAGATGAAAAGTTGTAATGAGTAATTAATGGCTTTTTAACTCAAAACATATAGGTATTTTGATATGATTGGCTTGCTGATTTTTAGAAGGCTTGTGCTTGGGAAGAGTGAATGCCTTATTCTCACAAATAATTCTTGTGACTTTAGGAATTTCCTGGGCCAGTCTGGAATCAGATTTGGTACGACAACTCATTCTAAATATGAATAAGCGTTCTCCCTCTAAAATCTGCTGTTTGGGAGAAGAAAAGTGCTTGGCAAACTGAAGTTGCTCTAAGGTGGTTTTTTTCCGAATGTGGGAGCCAGAGGGAAAGTCTTTTAATAAAGTTTAATTATGGAATGCTCATAACTTGCATCCATTTTAAAGTTGGTTCTTCACTGTTTATTAAAACCCGTATTTGAAAAGTGGGATTGAGGAAAATGTTGGAAAAGTGTTTTTTGATATTGTAATCCTCTGTGACAAAAAGAAAGGGGACAAGAAATTTCTCAAGTAATGTCGTCATCTCCTCACTTTCCCAGTATTGCTTCTGCCCCAGAGTCAGGGCAAGAACCAGTTTCGTAGTTCATTTCTGCAATATCTAGTTATGAAGCTTGTAATAAAGGTCATTTCCTAGTGCTAAAACATTGCTAGTATCTGAATGAAAATTGCAAGTTTATAAGCCAGCTAACTTCAGTTTTCTTCTGCCTGCCTTTGGCTGTGTATGCACTGTGGTGTAATTTTACATTTGGAAAGCTGTCTCTATTACAGTGCATTAAGTCAATCCTGTTTTCCAAATTATATTTGTACGATCTCTCAACATCTTGATGGAGGAAGTAGATGCTTAACAGGGGAATTTCTCCTGAACTGACAAGTTGTGGCGAAACTTTTATGTCTGCCACCTTAGCTTTGATACTGTTCTTTAAATGTACTTACTGCATCTTTCTTTAGAGCTCCCATAGATGACATTAAGCTGAAAATAGCACACACTTTTGAGCGAAATCGGGTACCATGCTTCTAAATGGCTGAAGTACTGCATTCAGTTAACATATCAGGTTGACTAGTCACTGGCATCTGCTTTTCTTTTTAAAGCAAGTGTTAGATTGTGGAAGCTGCTGGGCTTCTGAACTCTTCTGAACCTCTTAGCCTTTACCATGCCGGTTCACTTGCGGCCCTCTTGTCTTCTCATACACCTTTAGACAAATGGGCAGAGCAGCTGACAAGCTGCAGTCCAAAAGCAAACATGAGTAGTATGATGTGACCTGTCTCCAGCTACTTGAGAAGTGAGTTATATTTTTGAAACTCTACCAAAATACGCTATTAAAAAGGTTGCCGTGAAGCAGATCAGAATTGGTAGCTTGAAACTTCTACTTATAAACAGGATTGTAGTTTTAGCAAGTGCTGATAAAAGAGCAAAATTCGTTATTGGATAGAAACTGGGTAGGAGGAAACAACATAAGACCATCTTAGCAAGTAGTATAAACTATAAAACCATATCTACTATAAACTATGGACTTTGTATGAAGGACCATCTGTAACTTAATCCAGAAGAGTCAGTATTCTATTCAAAGTACTATTAGGTTTTCACTGATACTTTGAAGAAGATTGAAATTTTGCTTCATCCAGTAGCAGTTCCTTATTGAAATCTAAAGATATCAGCAAGTTTTCAGCCAGATTCTCTCCCTAGAAGGACAAGAAATACAAGTAAAACCAAAAAGGTTTGTATTATTCTTAAATATAAAGTTTTGAGCTGAAAAGTTCAGATGTACACTGTGATTATTCCTCAGTATGCTAAACCCTTGAACATACTTGAGCAGCAAGTTTAAATGAAGTAAACTAGTGCTGAACTTTGCAGTCAGTGGGTGTCTCGTTTATTGACCTTCTTTATGTAGGGCATAAAATCGATGTGTAAAGCTTATTGAAATTGATACTGAGCTGTTCTGTTGCTTGCCTTTTTAGTGATTGCCTTGTCATATTTTTGCTGGTGTACCATCGTCATTCTTATTGTTTTGTAGAACAACTCCTGTCTGACTTACTTTGTAGACTTTAAAAACAGTCTGATCTTGGAGTTGATTGTATAGCTTTTATGGGAGATAAGAAGTAAAGTGAATTGAGTTTCCAACTGACAACTTGTGTAGTATTCATAGCGTCTAAAGTCACTGATTGCAGATGCATTGAAGGCCAGGCAAGCTTTTAGTGGGAGTTTCAAAGATGAAGAGGCAGGCTGAGTTAAACTGTGGTTTGATTAGAAATACTACCATCTGAATGGAATGCAGATTGAAGGGTTGTGCTTATGATGTGGAATGGTGATGAGACATTTGGATCACCACAGAAGGTTTCTGTTTGAATACGATGTAAAGATGAAACAGGAGACGTGCTTCACTTACCTTGATTAGGGGCTTCAAGAGATTGGAGTGTGTGGGGATTACCCTGGACACTTATCCTTGTGTCACCCTTTTGTCTCCACTTCCTGGTTTCCATCCTAATTTGGTAAAAATGAATGTTTAGAAAAGAAATCTTTCTCTAATATCTGCTAAGAGATTTGGATTTTCACCTCTATAATGTTGAAAATGTTTGCTCACGTGGTATGAATTTACAAGGAAGGTTATACTTGAAGCCAGCTGCGGTTCCATTCCAGGCTTTCAGTGTGCAGTTTCACGATGTGCATAACTTGTTCAGACTGCTGACCAGGACTTTCCAAAGCAATACTTATGCTCTCCTGCTTGTTTCTGCTGGTAACTGATTCTCAGTATCGTAAAAAGGATCAGACCTCTGATGATACAAGCATGAAAAGATAAACAGAGATATAAATGTACTACAGGTGTATTAATTTTAGGGGTTCCTTGCCTGTACTTGAGTTAAAAGTACTGTTTTCACATCTTCACTTTCCTTCCTCTGGACATAGCGTAAGCTTTAGTATGTAGGCTTTGTTTTCATTTATTGGCCCTACCTAAGCAAATCTTTACTTAATCAGAAAATCTTTAGGACAGTAAACTGTTGGGTCGGGTTGCCTAGAGAGATTATGCAGTCTCCATCCTTAGAGATTTTAAGACCCAACTGGATAAAGCCCATGGCAACCTGGTCTGATCTCATAGCTGACCCGGCTTTGATTAAGGGACTGGATTAGAGATCTCCTGAGATCCAGCCTAAATTATTCTATGACTGTTCTATTCCCTCCTAAAGGAATAGATCTGTATTATATAGGATATAAAAGCTCCATTTCTGCCTGGAAGTAGTACTTTTCCACTGTAATTTTAGTTTTCCTCCTTCCCTCCCTCCCTCTCCTCATGCTGTCATGTATTCTTCCCGCCCCAGTGCTGTGCCTGTGTTTTTCTCATTTCTTGTGTTCTAGTTAGAGCTGTGAAATAAACAATATTCTGTTACTCTAATTTGAAGATTTTACATTAAGCAGTCAATTTAGAGAAGCAGAAGACAGCATATGAAGTCAGCAAACAGTGCTTATGGTTTTTTTTTTCTTTCTAAGTCTAAAAATCTAACATGATTAAAAACAATCAAGTGCATTTAACATTGCAGAGGAATTTTCAGGCTTAATTTCTTGTGTATTTTTTAAGCAGGCCAAAACCGCATTGTTTCAATTGTGATTCTGAAGACCATCAAATGAAAGACTGTCCAAAGGTAAAGTCTACACCAGTATTCAGAAGACTGCTGCTCTCCAAGAAATGTTTCAGTGTAACGGCACTATTTAAAAAAAATAAATTAGGTGCCTTGGGGTCAGGATATACAAATGGGTGTATTCATCTCTGTTGATTAGATTATACTGTTCATACTTATAAATTCTAACGTACTGAATCAAAACGTAAATTAGTTTTGTAGCATAATGGTTTGAATGTTTCCTTTAATTTATGGAGCAACATTTTTCAGTTTGAACAGTCTTTTTTCCTGTTTTAGAGCTCTGCTAGACCCAGTGCAAGTACTCTTGTTTTTTTTGCGATGTAGTTTTCATTACAGCTGTAGTTGTATCACACAACCATGTGTTAAAGGAAAAGGCATGCTGAGGGCAAGGAGTACCAGTTTCGTGTTGGGTGAAGGAGTGCATAAATTGTCCAAATCTAAATTTCCTAATTGTGTTATCTTTAAGCCACGAAATGCAGCTCGTATAAGTGAGAAGAGAAAGGAGTTTATGGAAGCTTGTGGTGAAGCGAGCAATCAGAATTTTCAGCAGCGTTATCATGCAGAAGAAGTAGAAGAGAGGTTTGGAAAATTTAAACCAGGAGTGATTAGGTATCTCTTTTCCTTCCACTAGCTGTTGCACTGCTTTTCTGGGATACCTTTTCTACCTTTGGAGTGTCAGATGTTACCTTCCAGAGCTATAAATCCATCTGCTACTCTTAACTATGGGTGTATTATGTTCACATTTGTTTGCTAAATAAAATTTTCGTAAATAACTTGCACGGATATTTTTCAAATTATAACTCATTGCTAGCTTAATAGTCCTACCCTTTACCATGGCACTTTCCCTAATGTAGGGAGACAGATTTTACTGTTTGGCTACTCAAGTCTCAAATGTATTTTGTTCCTAATAAGCTAAAAGTGCATGCTAGATTCTGAAAATTTTCAGCTTTGAGGGTTCCTTCCTCTCTCTCTATTCAAAATGTTTTAAAAAATCATAATGTGCTGTAGCAGTCTCCAGAGAAATAATGGGGAAATTTAGTGTAGCACTAAGTTCCGTCCTTCCTGTCGTGACAGCTACAGTTAAGGCCATGAATGAGAAGTAACAAGTCGAGTAAGTGGTTTTCAGTGTAGAATTAATTCTCATAAAACATTTAAGCATATGTACACTTAAGTTATCTGTAACGTCAGAGCTGGTTTTGACCTAAAGTTGTTATATCTGGGATTGACATGCAACGTAGTTTGATTTAAAACTAAGTTATTTTAACTTGATAGTTTAAAATTGAACAAAATGTTCGTAACTTGCTTTTGTCAAAACTCAGTTATGGATTTTACCGGAGGACATCTTGTTTTCTGTTTGTTTCCTGAACTTAGTGGGGAACTTCAAGAAGCACTTGGTGTCACAGATAAGAGTCTTCCTCCGTTTATATATCGCATGCGTCAGCTGGGTTATCCTCCAGGTTGGCTGAAGGAGGCTGAAATGGAGTACTCAGGGCTTGCACTTTACGATGGAAAAGGTAAGGAACGTGCTGTGGGAATGCAGTTTTCAATATGCAGGCTGTTTGCTGGCTGCACCTTGTTCAGGAGACAAAGTACCCTAGTTTGTAAACTTTCGTCTTCCTCGTGGAAGAGTGAGAAAGTTGTAAATCAAATTTTCTTTTCTAAAGTCATGTAGAAATACTCCCCTTTCATTCTAGCTGTGCGGTGACAGTGAAACAACTTCCATAATGATTGGATTGCATAGATGAAGACTCTCAGTGTGATTTACATCTAATTGACCCTTGATACTAGAACATGGAGTTCCTGTGAAACTGTGCAAGACTTGCAAATAGCCAATTGTCAAATTTCTTCTTCCTTTTTTGAATAAGCTTCTGTTTTCTTAACATTTTATGAAAGAAACCATAATACTTTCTAAAGTTCAATAACTTGGATGATAAGAGTAATACGACCACCAGTAAGCAAAGAATACATTTCTTGAAACCAAATTTATCAAGTATTTTACCAGCTTTTTACTAATGACCAGTGTTTGTGCTGCATCTCGTAGAACAGTCCTGATGCTGATTTCTGAGGCTAGTAATGGGACATGAAGAGCGGGGGGGGTAACAAAATTCAGT